ACAATTAGTAACGGTGGTTAAGTGAACCTGGCTTGCCCGTTGACTTTGCTTGTCAGAAGGTCACAAAAGGGGATCGCGTGACCCCGAGGGACACTGCAACTGTCACAAGTACATGCCAGTTGCCAAGCATTCTGAATTTGGATCGCGTGACCCTGGGGATGCTGCAACGGTCATAGGTGTGAAAAACGGTCCTAAGTCACTTTTTTTTCCATGCTGTTGTAACTTTGAGCAGACATTAAACAAATGGTTATAAGTTGAGGACAACCTGTATTATGTGGATGAGAGAAAGAGGATTAGGAAGTGGATCATCAAATAAGATTAATAGCTTAATATGTCCACCAGCTGCTGCTTTCTACAATTGATTTTTTTGTGTGTGTCCCCCTGCTATAAGTCAGATCCTAGACTGTCCCACGACCCCTAGATTTATTCCCAAGCGCATTTTGTATACCAAACTTTGCTTAAATTTCTTCCTGATTGCAACGAAGCCAACTCTAACTTTATGATAGGATGTCTGTGCTTTCTTGCTGGGTTCACAAATCCTTAGATGGTTCTTTTCTGTCATTGCAGGAAGAGCCGATCTTCACAGAACTGAACAGAGAAAATGAGGAGGAGAAAGGTAAATTATTAGGTGTGGATTATCTACTATAAGATTCACAGATTGTGGAGACTTAAAAATTCAAGTCCTAAACCAGGACCGCAAAATTATTAAGTTAATATCAAAGAATATAGGCAGTTCCAGACAGGCTGGTTTTTTTGTAAAATTAGGCTGTCTAGGTCTGATAATTTCATATTTCCCTCAGATATTGCTCTGAGGGCTTTGGTCACGATCGGTGTAACAACAGATTTTTTTCCCCCCATAAACATTCAATTTTACTCTGCATGTCCCAATGCTTTTAAAATGTTTTCCCTCAATCCTACATTACCCAGTTCACAGCATCAGCAAACTAGACTTTCTTCTTTTCAATAACTATTATATCAATAATTATTATATCAAACTCTCTTTTATTTGGATCCTAAAGTCCCCTAAAATCTTAAATCTACTCATTTTCCAAAACCTTCTAAAGTTGATGGTCCCCATAGTTTTCCCAAACCTCTGGGAAGGTTTCCAGTGAATAATTCTGGCAACTCGGTCCTGATGCTGCTTGTAATCAGTTTCTGATTATTATTTTTTTCACAGTAATCCATTAGTAAATTATTATTTTATTTAAATTTGTTTGGCTGCCCACTTCCATTGGAGTCTCTGTGGTGTACAAAACGAGGAAA